GACCAGATATAGTGAATGCAGGGTCCGGGAGACCCAGATATAGTAGTGAATGCAGGGTCCGGGGAGACCAGATATAGTGAATGCAGGGTCCGGGGAAGAGACCAGATATAGTGAATGCAGGGTCCGGGGAGACCAGATATAGTGAATGCAGGGTTCTGGGCTTAGTAACACTTTAAGGCTCAACTCTGGGAAAATTGAAAATGCCTCCTTGCGGTGGGCCTGTGCCTGCATTGCAAGGGTGAATGATTCATTTAGGTCTAGGGGAAAAATGGAAAAGATTTAGTTACATGATCCTCTGCGCTGTTAGACCAGGGGCGTATTCACCACAAGGCAAACCAGGCATTTGCTCAGGGCATTTTTTTTTTTTTTTTTTTTTTAAGAGGGGGGCAGCACTGCCCCCTGGAAGAAGAGACCTATGCGGCATGGGGACCAGGTGGGATCCGAGAGAGGCTGCGGGCTGCTTGATAGTGTATGCAGGGCCCAATTGTCGATCACAGGGATGTCCAGAACTGTGAGTTCGCTCTTTCGCCTGGGTGGGGAGGTGTAAGTGGTATGCTCTCCTGGGTGGGGGGAGATTAGGCAGGGGCACTGTTGGTCACTATCAGACTCTCTCCGTGGGGGCTAGTGTTTGTCCGTGTCAGGCTCTCTCTGCCGGGGGGGGGTCCGATTTTTGGGCTGCCTAGGGCAGCACAAAACCTAACCATACCACTGTGTTAGTCCAGTCCCCACAATGGTTTATCCTCCATGCTCTACTGGTCTATAGTATATCCTGACATCAACAAGTCCAATGCAGGGTCCACAGCCCTGCATTGGATGTGATGATGCCAAAAAGCAATCAACTGCTGTCTGCTGGGGGTGCAGAGAATCAGGTAAGTAAAATGATTTTACTTTCCTCTAATCCTAAACGAATAGTGAACCCCTGCATTGTGAGCACAGCCGCACTGCAAGGAGGAATTTTGTGATTTCCAGGAGAAGGAAGTTTTAGTTACTGCCTGGACTTTAGTCAAATCATAGGAGCAAGGTAGCCAATGTTCCATGTACCTTCTACAGGTCTTTTCCGGATGTCAAAATTAGAAGGATATGACCCTTAACATTAGAACTTTATAGAATAAAACAATAATACATTAAATTAGAATTTGCCTCCCCTGGTCCCTCCCGTTAGAAAATGTATTTTAGCGGCCAAAAACACAGATGTTCGATTATTCCATTACTGCAAACTGTGCCAAGTCCTTTTTAGGACTCAGTGATTCGGTTTTTGAATTTTTACACATTTTTTCTGACACGTCGGTGTTATACCTTTCACTTGGATGTTATAGGTTGCACGGAGGAAATACAGCTGAATAAAACAAAAACTGTGTCTGTCTTCAGGCTGCAGAGCAACAAAATATTATTTTAAGCGGGGGGGGGGGGGGCAATTCTTTTCTATACCCACTGCAAGCTTTGCTTTAGTGTTCACAGATACATACTGCAATCCATGTACCCATACTACCTACAGTACTGGGCCCATTCACCTCTGTAGTTTCCTGCAACTCTTTATTTTTGAAAGGTGCAAGGATCACAGCACGGTGCATTTTTGTCTCCTCAGACTTCAGTGGGATTGCATGAAAAATGCATGTACATATGTTTCGAAGCATTTTCCTACATGTACTAATTTCTATTGTACTGTCTGCCCTTATGTTGCAAAGTGCTGCGGTAAACTGTTGGCACTATATACATCCTATATAAAAAATAAATAACAGGCACCTCCTCCTAGCAACATCAAACACTTCTCTAAAAACACATGAAATGCTCATAAAAGAAAAAAAAAGCTCTGGAAACCACTCTGCACAAATGCATCAACCACATATGCATGGATGTTAACCTAACCCAGGGCTGCTGTTAGAAACCACAGGGCCCCATACAGCCAACCTGACAGGGCTCTTCCAAAAAAAAAAAAAAAAAAAACAAACACAGTTTACTATGCTTCGGTTTATGAATGAAACACAGTGAGCGATCAGTACCGATATACTTGTGTTCATTCGTGAAAGGAAGGACCTGGTAGATGTGACATTTATCGGACTCTTTCCCTGCTCTCCATCTTGAAGGATCCTACTGTGTGCTTGCAGAAAACCTCTTTAGCAATACACACTAAACTGAGCATGTGCAGAATGGCAACAGTTTATTCCGTCTTATCAGGAGATAAGATGTGGACATTTGAACAGGAGGAGCAGAGAAGTCAGGATCAAATGGCCTTTTTTACACAATGTGGAGGATTAACCCCTTAGGTTCCACAGTGAATAAACAAGCATGCCTTACTGCATATACAGACTGATTGTACAGTTGAGGGTTGAACAAGTTTTTATTACTGTTTGCATCACCAGCTACAAGATCCAGAGAGATGTTTTGTTATCAGTATATGTTATATGGATGCACAGTGCCCAGCTATTCACGATTGTATATGGTTAAAGCAGAGTTCCACTTTAAGTATTTGTCCCCCAGTAAGGCTCCCCATTAAGGATTGGCACCTTTGTGGTGAGGGAACCCGAATTTAACAGGTACCCGCCTCCCACTTCCGCTGCAATCACCTAGGTGATCAGAAGTGGAAGTTGTCCTTCCTTCCCCCTCCCTCCCCGTAGTCTTCAGGGACACGTGACAGGCCCCAGAAAACTACGGGGACATTCACAGAGCGCAGCACTACATGCGCATGCGCAGTGGGCACCCGGCTGTCACACCCAGCTGCCTACACTGAAGATGCCGGCACCAGGGCGAAAAGACGGCTGATGAAACCAGCCATGGTGAGGACACCGCTGGACTGAGGGACAGGTAAGTGGCTGTATTTTAAAAAGTCAGCAGCTACAGTATATGTAGCTGCTGACTTTTTCTTTTCCAGTGGAGGTGGAACTCCGCTTTAAAAGATAAATTTAATGTCGCTGGATTTTGTCATGTTGGTCTAAGGGTTAGTTCACACTAGATACAGTCCAGTGCTTTTTCTCTGCATCAAATGCCTGCACAGTGTTTTCCATGTATTCCAATGGCCCTAGTTCACACCAGTGCAGTCAGTTCCACTGCATTTTGGGGCAGGAAAAAAAAAAGAGTAGAAAAAGCAACATTTTTCTGCACAGAACTGTACTGGAACACAGTAAGGGCCAGTTCACACCTAACGCAGTTTTGATGCATTTTGGACTGCATTCCAGCTGCATAGACAGTCCAAAATCCAGGCTATCCTATGGTTCACACCATTGCAGTGAGGAAAAATAAAGCATGCTGCATTCTTCCACACTGACATCTTCCACACATAAATGTGCAAAACCGCATGCAAACGCACAGCAACGCATCACAGTACACACAGAATCTCTAGAAAAGAAAGAAGGAAGTGACCTCACAGGTCAAATGCAGATAGAAACTGCATGTAAAACACGCATCAAATGTACAAGGAAAAGACGTGCAGTTACATGCAGCTTCGGGTGTAAATGGGCCCTAAAATGCATCAAAAATGCAACGGAACAGAGTGTGGTGTGAACTAAAAGCAAAAAACGCATTTGGCATGCATCCAGAGTGTGTTTTTGTGGTGTAAATTGACCTTTACCCTCGGTTCACACCTAAGCGATCTCCGCAGCGTTTTGCAGAAACAGTACAGTCCATGTAACATGATTTCCTATGAGACAGACTCACATCTCTGCATTTTCACCCAGTGCGTTTTTCAGAAAGGGTCAGGGACTTTTTTTTTTTTATAAAACACAAAAAACTTTCTGTTTTTGGTTCTATAGACTTTAATGGGAACGCTGCAGAAAAGCATGTATTGTGCTTTTGCTGTGTTTTGCATTTAAAAACTGCCTAGCAACAAGAAAAAAAAAAGAAGAAGAAAAAACGCATCAAAAACGCAATGCAGAAATGCCTCAAGTGCAACCTGCACAGGTGTGAACCTAGACTCACTGTGCATTACACAACAATTTGTATGTACTGAATTGGTTTTACTCGCATTGTACAACCCCCATATACTGTATGTTGGTATTTGTGTGTTTTCACTTTACAAAACTGAAGGAAAATATTGACGTAAAAGCTAAAAAAAAAAAAAAAGAAAAAAATGGATCACCAGTTTGACATATCAGGTGTGTTGGTTAATTAGCTTTGAGAATTTTGTCCAGCCTTGCCCTGCAGCTAGGAGCATCTCCAGCGAGAACCTGCATTACTGAGCAAAACAACTCGCTGACACCGACTGTCCAACATCACACTAAAGTACAGCAGTTCTGTCATACCATGCAGGAGGAAGGTTACAATCACCAAGGTTTGCCATTAGGAGTTATATTTTTGTTATGCATGTTAAAGGCATCTGGTAGACACTTTATTTTTCAGCAGCAAATGGGTCAAAAGCCAAAATAAAAAGGGTGAAAAATTAAACAGCAGGCCTGTTAAAGTGTTACTAAACCCAGGACCCTGCATTCCCTCTATCTGATCTTCAACTGCTAATTACCTTTTCTCATCAGTACTTAGAGCAGTCTTGTGACTTCTATCAGTGTCCATATAAGCACTGCTTAAAGCTTGTAGGAGGAGTTTTCAATCTCTTATCACTGTCCTATGAGGCTGCATAACACCTGACCCTATGGACATTGTTAATTGGTCCTGTGTTGATCACATGCACCATCCCAAAGAAAAAAACAAAACTTCTCTAGCAATACACACCAAACTGAGCACGTACAGAGGGACTCGAAGAGCTTTGTTCTATCAGTAGATTGGATTGGGGACAGCAAAAGAAGGGAGATCAGAGAACACAGGATCAAAACAGCTTTTTCACACAAAGCGGAGGATTACCCCTTACGTTCCACAGTGAACAAGTAAGCTTTCTTTATTTCAGGCACTTATATAGCGCCGTCAATTTACACACACACACACATACATACATACACACACACACCACACACACCCCCCCCCCCCCACACACACACAATCAGAGGTCCCTAACTCACATTTATACATACACATACACATACTAGGGCCAATTTAGACAGAAACCAGTACCCAGA